ATCCTTTACCTCTTTGAAATCATTTGAAGAATGAGGCAAATATCTGGTTGTGTTGGGTTTTAGTCCAGATTTTCTTTCCTCCAGAAATAACCAACTTATGTCTCTTAATCATTTTATAGTTACCAAGGGTCAGGAGAGAGAATAAATGAGCATGTTTTTACCTTCTGTAGGCATTTTCTACATGTCAAAGGTTTTGTGTGTATCCCTCCTTTATTTAAAGAAAAAATCAATCACACCACCCCATAACACTTATGTTTTGTGAGAATTGCTTTTTTTAAGTTATTGGTATAAAATATTTATGTTTCATGGATGTTGTGAGGATTAAACATACACTGTAACTTATGTATACATATCCAATATTCTATCTTAGCAATCTGGATTTCTGTTTTTTTTTTTAGCTTGCCATTTTATCATAGTCATTTTACAGGTCATTAAAAGTTCTTCAAAATGCTGCATAATTTGCTTTTTCAAAGGTCAAATTAATACTTTTATTATTTTATCAACATACATGAGAAGTTTTTTATTATATATGTATGCCATAACTTTAACTATTTCCCTGTGGTTTGACACTTTATTTTGAAGGTTTGCTGTCATAAATAATGCTGCAATGTAACAGCAAGCATTCCTATTAATTACATATCCACAATTTTGATTAGTTCCTCAAATAGATTTAAAAGGATGAATTAATTTGTCAAATAGGTCTTTATAAGGCTTCAAAGTCACAGAAAGTTTAGATCTGAGTAACAGTTTCCTGAACAATGACCAACATTGTACAGCATAATTAACAAAATCATTATACTAATTTTATAGAAAAAATGCTAATATAGAGCATAAAACCTACCTTCTCAATCTGAAGTATACTGATAAAAATGAACACTTACAGGTTAACAATTGTAAATAAGCATAAAAATTCACTTCAATTCGGCAGAAAAAAAAAAATTTCTTATGTAGTATTTTAAACAATTATTTCCTGGGACTCCAAAATTTCTGTAACTGATTAGAGTCTGCTAGTAAAAAGGAATTTAAAATTAATTTTAAATTAAATTAAATTAATTAATTAATCAATAAATTAATTAAACTTAATTAATTAAAATTAATTAAATTTTAAAATTAATTAAATTTTAAAATTAAAATTAATTTTAAAAACTATGGCTAATTAAATTTGATGTCTTTCTTCTGATTCAATTCCAAGCTCTAAATTATGTAAAACTAGTTTAAGGAGTCACATGGGCTCTAATGAGGCTGAATGCTTTTGTAGGACCTGAGAATTAAACTGTAAGCTCTATGAATTTGTGTGCCAGCAACATCTTATTTCTTTGCTGAAAAAAAAATGAACTATTCCACTTATTCTCATATCTTCTTTAGGAGAGAGTCACAACTGGATTTAGGATGATATAATGGAGAATAACTATTAATATTTTTTCCAGCCCTGATAAAGTGCAGACATGGGGAAGGAAAACTGCACCACTGTGACCAAGTTCATTCTCCTCGGGTTCTCTGATGCCCCTGACTTGAGAGTCTTCCTCTTCCTGGTGTTTCTTGTCATCTACGGAGTCACGGTTTGGGGCAACCTGGGCATGATTGCGCTGATTCATGTCAGCCCTCGGCTCCACACCCCCATGTACTTTTTCCTCAGCCACTTGTCCTTTGTGGATTTCTGTTACTCCACCGTCATTGTGCCAAAGATGCTAGACAGTATCTTCAAGGAAGACAAAACCATTTCCTTCCTGGGATGTGCTGTGCAATTCTACTTGTTTTGCACGTGTGGGGTAATCGAGGTCATCCTGCTGGCTGTGATGGCCTATGACCGCTTTGTGGCCATCTGTGACCCTCTGCTGTACATGGTGACCATGTCCCGAAGCCTCTGTGTGGAGCTGGTGTCTTGCTGCTACCTCTGTGGGACTGTGTGTTCTCTGATTCACTTGGGTTTAGCTCTTAAGGTCCCATCCTACAGATCAAATGTGATTAACCACTTCTTCTGTGATCTACCCCCGCTTTTATCTCTTGCCTGCTCTGATGTCACTGTGAATCAATTGCTGCTATACGTTGTGGCCACTTTCAATGAGATCATCACCATCGTGATCATCCTCACCTCCTACTTGTTTATTCTCATCACCATCCTGAGGATGCCCTCTGCAGAGGGCAGGTCCAAAGCCTTTTCCACCTGTGTCTCCCACCTCGCAGCCATCATTGTCTTGCAGGGAACAATCCTTTTCATTTATTGCTGCCCCGGTCTGGCAGCAGTAGGGATGCTGACAAAGTGGCCACGGTGTTCTACACTGTGGTGATTCCCATGCTGAACCCCCTGATCTATAGTCTGAGGAATAAGGACATGAAGGAAGCCCTCAGAAAAGTGGTGAACTCCACAATACTTTCCTAGAGAACAGTTTTCTAGCAGAACTCAGAGCCCCAAAGTGGAGGCTGGTGGAAGGGTGAACTGATGGGCTGCACTGTTGGAAAGGGGAGAACAGCTAAGAAGTTAATAGTTACGAGTGAGGTTTTTTTTGGCTTGCTTATCTTTGCTTCCTCAATTTACAAGTTTAGGATTGAATATATCTCAAAATGTGCAATCTAATACTTTCCTTTTATTCAATCTAAAATGTTTTAAGTAGAACTGGTTAGTGTATTATGAAAGTACACCCATTTAATTTGCTGTAAAACCTTCATGAGCTTAATGAAGAATTTGCAAGAATCACATTTTATTTTAGTATCCATTGTAGGGACAGTGACTCATTTCAAAGCTGAATATCTGTTATTTTACAATGAAAAACACACCTTTACCAGTTTATACACAGAATGAGATTTCATATATATATATATATCTCCTCTTTATTGTTTATTTCTTGGTTCCTTTATTGTCTGTTTTCCAAATTTTATTCATTTATATTATTACTTAGTGGAGGTGCTGGGGATCGAACCTGGGACCTTGTGCATGCCTCTACTGCTGACCTGTACCCATCCTACTTTTATTATTTTTTGTCATCATTGTAGTCTCCAGTGTTTTTAGAACTTCATATCTTATCACATCTGAAAAATAGAGACATTAATAATAATTATTTCACAGAAATTTTAGGAAAATTAAATAGCAGGTCATGTGCAGGTAGCTTGGAATAATCCTGGTACATAATTAGTCCTCTATCTCTGTGTGTGTGTATGTGTGTATGTTGTGTGTATGTGTGTATATGTGTGTCTGTGTGCATGTGTTTGCATACAGGCGTATCCTGTTTCTTGACCTCCATGTCTCGTCTCTGAATTCTTTCTGCCATGGCACAGGAACCTAGTCTCCCTGGTAACAGATACAATTCAAACTTTGTGACGTTTGTAAACCAAATGCAACAGACTGTGGTGGTCACCCTTTAAGATCTACCTAAGTAAAATTCCATGGAATTCATGTAAATGGATCTAATCATTTCTCTACAATTTCTGAAATAACAATTCTTATATTTCCCTTGGCTGCTTTCAGTCTTAGTAACTAAGATAGTGACTGATCAGGACTCTGCAGGGCCTTCCCAGGGGAGACCCCCTCCTTCATACTCTCTGCTTTATGTTCTCTCTGGAACTCCAGGGTAATAGTGTCAGATGCACATTTCCTGAGTCATTTTACACATGTGAAAATCCCCCACCAAATGGCGGATGTTAACTACTTCATAACCACAAGCACATGGCCCCTTGGAGCCTACAGGTTGATGATATTAACCCCCATGACACAGCCCGGTTAACCTCACCATCAACCAATCAGAGAATCGTGCACAAGCAGATCACATGGCCTGGGACACTGGTTCCCTCCCCCGGCTTTTAAAAATGCTTTTCTGAAACCCTTTGGGGAGTTCAGGGTTTTAAGCATGAGTCACCCTTTCTCCTTGTACAGGGATCTTAAAATGCAATAAATGCTGCACCCTTCTTCACCACAACCCTCTCAGTAGGTTGGCTTCACTGCACGTGGGCAATCAGGCTCAAGTTTTTTTCCATAACTAAGATGATACTTTTCTGGGCAGCTTGTTCCAAAAGGAATTTTTGGCATCAAAAATGAATTATCTTTGCAGTTGGTGACTTTGGTGATGAGATAGAATGGAAAAGGTAATTCAGAATTTCCGAAGTGGGTGAGGGAGAGGCGTACATTACTACCATGGAGATGCAGGTAAAGTGTTAAACTCTTTCTGCGCTTTCCATCTTGATCAAATAAAATGATATATTCCAAGCACATAAATCAGCAAGGAAACATGATAACCACATCCCACTGTGGCTCAAGCAATAATTAAAAAAAAAGATGATTCACATAAATTATGACTTTCAAAGAAGAATGACTTTGATCTGGAGGAGGTAGAAAAAGTCTAATGGAAGGGCTCATGCCTCAGCAGTGTTTTGTGAGTAGACAAAACAAGTGGTAAACTGAGGGTGCCTAGGCTGATGAGATCTTGCATCAATGTGCAGATCTGTGAGGTAGCATATATCCATTAACAGAAAGAGATGTAAATACAGATATACATATGGAAACAGTGATATTTAGAGGCTGAAAGTTGTACAGAAAGTGGAGGTAGATAAGTCCAGCAGAGAAAGCCTTGGAGGATATTTTTAGAAAGTGGGTAATGCACCTGTCAGTGTCTGTGACTCATTCACATTTACAACCTGACTTGGTCATTGTAGCTTTCATGTATTTATTTTAATTTAGTTTATACGTATTTAACGTATTTATTTTTGTAATGGGGGATACATTCCCATGATCTACTTCTTTTTCCTCTGCCCTGTGATGAATACCTAATACATATATACTTCTAGACATATCTTATACATATTCAAACATGTATCTAAAGGAAGGCTGATTTACCGTGTAAAGACTTATTTTAGTGACAGTGTAGCAGATATAAGAGGGTGAATCTATAGACTTAAAGGCCATTTGGGAGCTTACAGAACAGTGCAAGTGTAAAATAACAAAAAAATATGATCTAAAGAAATGTCAGTGATGATAGAGAAGACAGAACGAATAGTTTTGTGGAAATGTGATGTTTCAGGGGCTACAGAGCCCTGGATGAAAGCTTTATAATAAAGTGGATGTAAAGATGAGATCATGCTATGAACAGTATATAATATATTTGCTTATCAGGTATCCAGAATGTTTGCAATAATTTTAGAAACTCTAATATACCAGTTCTAGCCAGATGTAGCTACTTCTGGGGACCAAATTCGCCTTTGCGGTCCTATCATCGACATACATGATGAGATGCTTTGCCAGTAACACCCGTGGTGGGACCATGACAAAGTAGCTGAGGTCCTGAGGGCAGGACCTTCCCACTCTTCAGTGTGGTTAGTGTAACCAGGAGCAGTTATGCCTTACAGAGGTCAAGAGCATAGTAGAAACTTAAGAAATAGTTGTTAAAAAAGAAATTCTGCATGATCTCACTTGTATGTGCAATCTAAAACAGTCAGACTCTTAGAAACAGAAAGCAGAATGGTGGTTGTCAGGGCTGGGAGGAGGGGGAATGGAGAGACATTGGTCAAGGGGTAGAAAGTTGCAGTTACACAGAATGAATAAATTCTGAACATCAATGTACAACAGTGTCACTATAACAACACTGTATTGGGTTCGTGAAACTTGCTAAGAGGGTAGAACTTAAGTGTCCTCATCAGAAAACAAAAACAAATGAAAATAAAAAGGTAACATGTGAAGTGATGGATGTTAAGTAGCTTGACTGTAGTGATTATGTCACAATGCATATGTATATCAGAACATCAAATTGTATGCCTTAAATACATATAATTTTTATTTGCCAATTATACCTCAATAAATCTAAAAAACAATTCAGACAGAATAAACAATATACCAAAAAATTCTGCTGTGTAATAAAGATGATTTCTGCCCTGACTTGCATTATACAAAATATGTTGGTGTCTATGGTAATGATCACGGAGCATGGAGAGAAGGAGGCATTTGAACTTTTATTAATGTTCATATAAAATGTTTCTAAGGTTGCTGTTTGCATTCATTCAGATTTTCCAAGAAAACTGAATTCTATCAGAGAACAATCATTAATTTTAATTGCTTGTTTTGAGGCCTTTGAAGAAGGCAGGCAATTTTCTCTAGGGTCCTGAAGTCAGTGGGAGTGGAAACAGACATAAATACGAATTCAGCCTCTCCCTCAAACCAGCGAGCCCTCCAGAGGACAGAGGGGGGCTGCCTTTTCCACCAGCAGGTTTGTTTTTTTTGTCTGAGAAAATATACATGTTCTTTAGCGTGTAAGCTATCTAGAAGATACCTTGGGCTCAGTCATTGTGTCATGAGAAAAATCACTTCGGGCAAATTTTGAGCCACTGCAAACATTGTCTTTAGAAGAGGAAGCCCACACTTTCTACAGTTTTGTAGAAAGGGCCTGACTTAGCTAAGCTCCTTCATGGCTGTGTCCTGAACAAGTGTTTCCTGGGGGTGGGGGCAGAAGGACCCTAAGAGTTCTCAGGTGTATGTCTTTCTGCATCTGGAGAATTTTGGACAATAGGCAGGTATTTAAATAAAATTGAGTTAAAAGGAATACAATGAACCTTCTGGAGAAATAGAATTAACAGGATGAGCTCTAAATAAGATTTCAAAGCATGGGGAAAAAATATGGGCTCACAAGAGCGAAAAGAATTAAAGGGAAGAGATTATTAGAAGCTTTTTAGACACCATGTTTCCCAGATTCAAGGATAATGCAAATTGTTTAGTTCATTTAATAGCATCGTTTGGGAAATGAGAAGCAGTTTTAAGTCAGACAGAAGAAACTTTAAAACCTTCCAGAATCAAGTAGATAAGACTGTAGCTCTCAACTACATGCATATATTGACCCGCCTCCCCAACAGGGACATTTGACAATTTCCTGAGACACTTGATTGTCACGATGGAGGGACGAGGGGTGGGAGTGGTACTGCCATCTAGTGGACAGAGGCCAGAGATGCTGCTATACATGGTAAGATGCCCTGAGTGGTTAGTTCCCCATAAAAAGAATAATCCAGCACAAGGTATTGAGGTTGAGAGACTCTGAAAAATATCACTGATAAAGATTTTTATAATATTGAGAGCTGACTAGGAAGTACTGCCTTCTGATTGATCCTTAAATTCTTGGGTATCTGAACCCACAGGGCCATCAAGGACTCTCAGTGTTGTATAGAACCATCACCTTTTAGAGATCGAATGGTCAAAACTGTCTGGTTCTAGGGTTGTAGAAACAGAGAGGACATTACCAGAAATATCAGCCTGAGAAAGAAGTCTTCATTATAAAGGCAGGTTTTATGACTGAAAGAATTCCTTGTATGTGTGACTTACAGGACTAACGGAAAGTTCCAAGTGGGATGTGTTGTTCACCGTAGCACTCTGAATTCTTCCAGATACAGGGTTGCCATTTTGAGCAAGCAAAAATACAGAATTTTAAGTTTAATTTGAACTCTTGATAAGC